AGCAAGTTAGCCACGAAGAACTCAGAACTTGAAGTGAGCATGAAGAAACAAGCCCAAAAATGGCTGACTGCATAAGCGACGAGTGACAAGAACCCAATAAGATTACCCAAGTGGCTACAGTTTGCGTAACTATTCTGTGAGTGGTGCGCAAATGAGTACGGCTGGCTGTACGAAGTGTACGGCTTGGCGTTAACGGCTTGATTAAAGTGTGTGCTACGCGTGTGCATACCGGTCGATTCCGTCAATTGAATGAGCGCAGTGGAATACTTCAAGACAGAGCCTATTAACTTCAGGACCGAGAAGATATTCATAGGAAACGTGCCTCCAAGCGCAACCCGAATCGAGCTGCTGAAACATTTTTCAGCATATGGCAGAGTTGTCGTAAGTCATTATGTCAACTATATTTATTTGTTGATGATTAATTGAGTCGAGCGAACCTACAGACCACCAGGTGCACAACACCAGGGTGGTCAGAGTGGGTTGGTATATCTGCGGCAGCCCATATATCTTTTGTAGGACTGCGTGATTATGACGAGACATGACGGGTCAGGTCGAGGCTTCGGTTTCTGCGAATTCGCCGACGCGGACAGTGTGGACTCGGTTATGCAGCAGTGGAACCTGCATTACTTGAGTGACCAATGGGTAGAAGTCAAGCGGGCCAGCCCTGAGAATGCTCTTAGAAAATTCAAGAGCAACAACACTCCCCACAACAGCCGCTCAAGACGTAGCTAAGCTGGCTGGCTGGCCATGATTAATTTTTTCAACTTCTTCGTCAATTGTACTATCAAGCCCCTCGAAATATTTCGAAATACTTCTGCAAATAGAACAATGCCCAACATTCTTGCTGGACAAATCTGTTGTGAGCCACAACCTATTATCCACTGAAGCAAACAGACGACAACAGATACCACATGGCCGTTTAGCGTCACTGCCATTCCCAGGTACAACGATGCGCTCTTCCGCCTCTAATTTTTTAAGGACGGCTCTAACGTTTAGCAGAGCCGCTGGCATTTCGCTCGGGATGGCCTTCATGAACTCATTGCAACAACCCTCCAATGTCATTGTACCGCTTAGTGCATCAACCATTCTAGCCTCCGCTTCGATAGTCTCTACCTTCGCTTCTGCCTTCGCTTCTGCTTTCGCTTCTGCGCTTCCCGATAAGGACACCAGCAGTCGACCAACACCATCTTGGTCCACTAATTCAAGCGGTCGTACCACCCTGATGTCTTCATAGATGTCTTTCCGCTCCAAGGAGCCCAGAAATATTCGTTCGAACACGTGTGCGGCAATGTCCCGATTCGTCTCAAACCGGATGACAGTGTTGCACCCTAGTTTTTTGCAGCTCTTGTATAGTAGGCCAGAGCGGAGGCATGATAGAAACCGTTGTCGCTTATCTAAGCTGACGGGGACCACTTTTTTTTTGGTAATTTGTTGTATCCATGCATCCATATCCAGATGCTGCACTCCCATGTCTTCGATTCTCGAGCGTAAAGCCGTAGGGGCTATAATTGCGACTATCTCTATATCGACACCCCGTAGAGGCAGACATGTTTTCCTGAAGTGATCCCAGATAAGCAATTGGTCTGCTGCCGCTAATGTCAGTGCCGCCGAACATGGAACCCGGGTGGCCGGCATTCCAAACAAAGTTCCGGGCTCTTGAGTGCCTGCTGTGATATCAATTAAGCACCGCCGCGCCTGACTTTTCCTCAAAATTGTCTTGAAAGTAGTTTCGATCTTATGTAGGTCTGCTGCTTCCATAATTAGTTGAAGGAAAATCGAGGAGCGGGGGTAACGACTCTGGGAGGGGGTGGGGCGGGTTAGGTTAGAGGTGGGAATATCAGGGGTGAGGACAAGAGGTGGCGGTGGCGCAAACAGGTGGCATCAAAGTCCGGAGGGAGAAGAAGTAGGCAGCATTCTAAAACCAGGACACGCGCATGAGGCAGACTGACAGTCTGATACAGCGGCGAGAAGTCCCTGTCGCATTCACAAATACCGATGGATTGATACGAGCAAAAACTAAAACGGAGCGACTCCACCCTGTTAGTGACATCCACCGCCCCCGTTATCCATGCGGCATTAATGCCAACCGACATTACGGCCTGCCTGCGCGTCAACAATCGCAACCGCCACAGGCGACCTTCTAGTGATACCTCTCTCTTGAGGTGATACCCCCTCCCCAGTGAAGTCACCTAAGAGGGGATAGCCCGGGAAGTAGGATAGCCCGGGAAGTAGGATATACCGGGTGCGATACGCTCATCGAGTAGTACGCTGCGGATGACGAGCTGCCCGCAGATTATGTGCGCTCGCTAAAATTTATCATGGTCTAATGCCCGCCATAATCCATCCATGCTCAGGCTGCGTCGTCCAGCTGCGTCGTCCAGCTGCGTCCACAACGCGACTTGATCTCAGGCGCGCTTCAAGTATCGGGGGTAGAGTACTTATGGTCAAGTTTCGGAGGGCTCGTCCTCGAATGCGGTTTCGACTCCGGCCATGATTCCCTCTGCGATTTCTTTCATATACAACTGCACCTGACTCCAGTCTAGTTTCTGCGGCCATTCCATCTTATAAAACATATCCCTCCATGTTTCTCCTGCGCTACTCTGACCTTTGTCCGTGGCCTTGCTCATTGCGTGCACTCACTGTTGTCTTTACCACTGTTCCGTACAGTCAGTTCCGTACAGTCAGTTCCGTACAGTCAGTTCCGTACAGTCAGTTCCTGTTAAAAAATATTTCGCGAGAATATTTCACTCAGGTGCATCCCCCTACCAAGGCAAACCGCCCCCATTATCGTCATACCCTAACAGCAGGTTATGGTGCGCACCATAACCTTGCACACATCTCACCGTAACTGCGCACACACCCACATACAATACGCACACCCTCAACCTTCGGCTCCCAGGCGGGCTTCACCTAATCACGAACCACTAAGTCGCTCTCCCTAATGTCGGCCGCCACTGCCTCTTGGTAGCGACGCACGTATGTGGTCCAAAGACCGGCACCCAAAACACTCAACGCAAAGAGACCTCCGTACGCCAAAGTCATCGCTCGCGGATCTTCCAGGAAACCCCCGGAATGGGATTCGCCCGCTTTCCCGTTGGCCTCAACTCTCCCGTTGGCCTCCACTCTCCCGTTGGCCTCCACTCTCCCGTTGGCCTCCACTCTCCCCAAGTCATCCACTCGCCCCCCTGGCAAAGACGACGGGTCCTCTGCATCGGCAGCTGCGGCCTCCGGTGGCGCGGTGGTTGTGGTCGTTACCTCATCGTCCGAACTTCCGCGCGGGATCGTCATCGGCTGCCGCACGGTCCTTATTGACCGCTCCACGCCCTTCTCAATTCCCTTCAGCAAGTCGCCTACTCCTAGCGCGGCTGCAGCGGGCGCGGCAGTCGTGGTCGTTGAGTCGCTCTTGAGGTACCGGTCCAACGCCGATTCCCCGATCTCCTCCACAATCGGCAATAGCACGTCTTCGGCGATCTCCTCGACCAAGTCCAGCGGTAAGTTAGCGGCCCCGGCCGGTAAGTTAGCGTCTGCGGTCAGTAAGTTAGCCGCCGCCGCAGCGGGGGCAGCAGTCGTGGTCGTTGAGCCGTTCTTGAGGTACCGGTCCAACGCCGATTCCCCCATCTCCTCCACAACCGGCAATAGCACGTCTTCGGCGACCTCCTCGACCAAGTCCAGCGGTAAGTTAGCGGCCCCGACCGGTAAGTAAGCGGCTGCCGGAGGCGCGGGCGTGGTCGTTGTGGTCGAGACCGGACCCGCAATGACCTCGGCAATGGGCAGCAGGATTTCTTCCGCCACGCGATCGAGCAAGTCCAAACCGGGCCCCATGCCGCTCACGACCTGGTCGCCTTCTTCGATAGACGGCAAGTCCTGGAGATCGGCACTAGCGACGGCGGCCGTCTGTCCCTGAGGCACTGGCGAAGGCGCCGCCGGAGTAGGGCTACTGGGCTCGTTCGGCTTGCTTGAAGGCACCTGGCTTAGGGGTGGCTTGTCGCCCGGCTTCGTGCCTTCAGAACCGGGGTTCAGACCAACGGCCTTTTCGGCCAGGGAAGGCAGAGCCTCCTCCAGGGCGACACTCCCGACAGCTGTTTGTTCTGGGGGCACTGGCGAAGGCGCCTCCCGAGGGGAGTTACCAGGCTTGCTTGACGGCGGCTTGTCGCCCGGCTTCGTGCCTTCAGAACCGGGGTTTAGACCAATCGCCTTCTCAATGACGGAGGGCAGCCAGGGCCCGAAGGTATCCTCGATCCAAGACGAACTCTCCGCCCTCTCCTCATCCAACCCCTCGCCCTCCAGTGCTTGTCGCTCCACCCAATCTCCTGCCTGCCAATCACCTGCCAGTGCCAGCGACTGACCGCTCAGTTCGTTGTCCACTTCGAAATCGCGGGTTTCCGCGAAGTCCGCGGGGTCAACATTGACCAATGAAGACCACGCAGATTCGCTGCCCCCAGCAAAGCTCTGTCCCCCTATCTCCTGCCAGTCTGCATCGAGGCCAATGTCTTCTAAGTCAGCCGCTACTGCCGTTTCTGTAGGTGCGGGTTGGAGTTGTTCGCCGAGGAGGTAGTTATCGGCGTTCTGCTTGTAGACTTGGACGAGTTCGTCGTCGACCCTGCGCATGAGTCCCCGGCCGAGTGCGACATCGGCGTCTTCTTCCCAGAGGTCGCGGCCGCGCGCGTGTGCAAAGTTCTGAAGACGATCGGGCGCGTGATGCGCGAGGGCCATGGCGGCAGTGTCGTTACCGGGGAGAGGTGCGGTACCTGGTGGTCGGGCCGCAGCCTCCACCAGGGCCGGTGCCACCAGGGCCGTGAGAGAATCGCCTTCAGGATGGCGTCCCGCGATTCGTTTTTCAGTGTAGACTTTGGTGTGCACCTTGGCTGCCGGAGGGACAAGTGTAGACGCCGGGCCTTCGCCTTTACCCGCACCCGCCGCGACGCCAGCTGAGACGCCGGCGTTAAGACCTGCGGCGGCGTAGTAACTACCGCCCTCAGCCGGGTCTCCTGCTCCCTGACCAGGCGCTACACTTACGCCAGGCATGCCGGCCACAATGGGGAACGCTTGGCTGGAATCGTGGCCCGGGGGGAGGGATGCATGTCCCGCAGATGGGGCATGTCCCGCAGATGGGGCATGTCCCGCAGATGGGGTATGTCCCGCAGATGGGGCATGTCCCGCAGATGGGGCATGTCCCGGAGATGGGGCATGTCCCGCAGATGGGGCGTATCCCGCAGATGGGGCGTGGCCTGGAGGCTCTTCGGTGGGTTTGTCTCTCCAGGTCGCCGCGTTATTTGGTTTCTTGAACACAGGGTCGTTGGGTGCCGGGTCGAGGCCGAGACTGCGCCAGTCGTGCCGGGCCATGGCGACGGCGAAGGAGGGGTCTGCCAGGCTCCAGTGAGTACTGCAGATGAAGCACTTTAATTTTGAGTTGTTGCAGACGCGATCTTGGAGGCCACTGGGGCCGATCGCGCCGCACTTGTCCACGACCGAAGCACGTTTTTTCTGCCTCAGGTTCTCCATTTCGTATTCTCGGTCATCCATCCAGAACCACTCAGACTGGGGTAGCTTTCTCAACCCGATCCAACATGGACCAAGGCGTCCACTGTCGTTCGTGAGAAAGTTTAATTTCGATCGAACTAATGGCTCATCTTGGGCGTCATGGAACGTTACCAACGACGTACTCATCTGCATGCACAGATCCTCAGCCTCACTCCACGTACCACGCTCCGGATCCGCATCCTCATTCGAAGCCGCCGCACCCACACGAACATCTCGGAAACGAAAGATAGCATAACATCGATTCTCGTCCCCGTTCTTCACCCAACCAGCAGGGCATTGACCTAAAACGAATGGAACAAATAACCACTTGACCCAAGACATGTATGTATGTTTTTCTACAAACACACGCGTGCGGCAAGAACACGCGTGCGGCAAGAACACGCGTGCGGCAAGAACACGCGCGCGAAATATTGCGTATGCCCGCGGAACTCAATCTGTTCAGGCCATTAGAATTAATAGTCTAATCACTAAAATGACCAGAGGATCCACCGTCGAGGTTCAGAGATCCGTCGAGGTTCAGAGATCCGCCGGCAGCGTCCTCCTTCCCTGCTGGGTTTCCACTAAACCCTCTATGCGTCTCTTTTCCACTGAATGGTCACGGCTTCTACATGGTCTCGTCCATAGTCCCTTTCTCCCGTCCATAGTCCCTTTCTCCCGTCCATAGTCCCTTTCTCCGCTATGTGTTGCCCGGGTGGAGAGGTCCGCGGTACACTGCGGTAATCCAAGGTTGTGGTCCAACATTGTGCTCCGGACATGTAGTAGTCTAACCCTATCATTACAGTTCCAAGTTCTTCGCAGGTGTCTCCCTGTCTACTAACAAGAACTGGGCCACAGGGCCCCTACAGACGGGGCATTTTTCTTCGATGCGTTGGGAGCACTCGGAACAGAGACACAAGTGTCTGCAGGGTAAGACGGTGATGGTAGCTTGCAGATCCTGGCAGATGAGACATAGACCACTGGATCTTTCGTCATCAGCAAGGCTGAAGATCTTTTGTATAGTAAAGAACTGGCCGTTGCAGCGCATTTTGCATTGCCAGGTGTCTATCTTGCCGGCGCTATTGAGCTGGAGTATGTACCACTGAACCCATGTGTTACTTCGTGGCTCCCGACATGAATTATGTCTGACTAGAGTGCCAGAGCCCGACTGCTCCTGCTGCTGCTCATTCGGTAGGATGCAAATGCAAATTGTACGCTGCACAGCTCTATGCAATTGAATAAGAAGCTTTTGCTTCTGACCTACCTTGCAATATCCATCACCCACACAGCGCCACATGCCTCCCGAGTCCGGGGATGCTCCCGTGTCCGGGGATGCTCCCGTGTGCGGGGATGCTCCCGTGTCTTCAACACATCCAAAGTCACGATGTTGTGTCTCGTATATGAATAGCATTGGATCGGGAAGCTGCGTTGCCTCGACCGACTCCCAGTTGATTCGTGGGACTTGACTTCCAGTTGTCAGAGTGTAAACCAGACACAGACAATCCGAGGTGGATGTGTAGCCGAACAGTAGTGATGCTCCTTCTACCTTAGTTTCATGGGCGTCAATCACAAACGGGTTCCGAACAGTCGTTACGGCCTCCATCGTCGATTTACCGGAGCAAGAACCTGAACGACTGAGTGCTTCGCTCCAACTAACAATACGTTGCTGCCCCCCACTGGCATCTGCACCAGCAGGCAAACTATCTTCCGGCTCAGCTAACAGGTTCCCCATG